TGTAAGAAGGAGCCAAAAAAGGCCAAAAAAAGTAAAAAGACAAAAAGCAAATACAGAAGATTGAAAATGAATATGGAGCAAACAAATCACGGGGAAAATAGCATTGATTGTACTTTAAATTTACCCCCGACGCGTTGCCAGGCTTGCCGCGGGCTTGACATAGAGATGTCACCGATGAAACCCTTCTCCGGGGGCATATTTAAAAGGCCAGACGATTTAATAATTACTACGGAATTAATCTCTATAATTGGAAATGTAATTTTGGGTGCACCATCTCGAAAATCGTAATCTCGAAAATCAGTATCTCCAATTTTCATAATCTCGAATTTTAGAACCTCGAAAATAAAGAAGCCTCCGGAAGTGCACGCCTACGCCCGGAATCGGGCCTAGGCATAGTTCGACATTTTCGTAAAATTCACTCGCAAACGTAGATTCCTGTAACTTTGATTTCGTAGTTCAAATGACTATAGCTGGCACAGGTTTTAATGGTCGACCGAAAGGACAACTACCAATTCAGCGGCGTTCAAAAGGCCCTTCCACCGGCTGCAAAACCGTGAGAAAATATTTACACGTCGACTGGTGGTCTTTAGATTGTAATGCGGATGCGCCACCGATTGCATTGGTGGGCAAAATTAGGTCCGCTGCAATAATACGGGGGCAATCACCCATAGATGATAGTAAGATCGCGGAAAAAGCGGCGCCTGACGATTCCTAAATAATCACTGCTAGCTTGCAATAGAGGCTTTTTCAGAGCTTTAGAAGGCTACTAAAGGTTACAATTGGCTATGGGCGGGGGCCTCAACCCGTTTTGGCTTGAGTCTTGGTACCGGGCCGTTAGCCGGGGATTTTAGCTGTTATAATTTTAATTTTGGGGTGATTTTTTAATGCTCTTTGATTTTGCGGAAGTTATGAAAATATTTGATAAATTTCAGAAAATTCAATGAGAATTTTTTACGTATTTTTCTGATGCGAAAGCTGTGTAAAAAGATACAAAATAGCAAAATTTGTTAAAGGTTCGTGCATGAATCACTGACAAAATTGATTTCCCGATCCCCTTGCCCCCATTGGATTTTCAGCATTTTTTCCTTTTTTCAGAGTTGGATAGAAAGCCAACTGCTTACGGCTATGTAAAAAAACCGTAGAGAGCGCGTTACACGACAGGCACTAGATATTTGAAGGGGAACTGACACGGGCCGTCCTGACGCCTTTAACAAGACCTGGAACCCAAACTCGAAGCAAGGCTTTTGGCGTATCAACCATTTACAACCAGTTCCAAAATTCCAAAGTGCCGGGATAATTCATTAAGGCGTTGAAAATTATATAATTTTAGGCGCTTTATGGCCACAGTCAGCCGAGAATTTATGGAATACACCCTGGACGCTTAAGGCGAGATAAGCCGCGTGCAAAAATACGGAGCGACACGGACCAGAGAACCTACAGACCCTGATAACGGGCTGCGACTCATGGAAAAGCCCTGTGATCGTTTTAATCATAGAAGTGGTGTTTCTCAGGGTTCAGGACGGTCAAACTGGGCGGCGTCTAGGGGGTGTTCCAGCGGGCATTGGTTGTATCCAGGATATTCTGGTGCCCTTCGACATCGACCTGATTCTGAGGCGTTTAGCTGCTGTCAGCGGTTTCTGGGCGATTTTGGGCCGATAGTCTTCGGAGGGAAAACGCCGACAGCAATAATCCAGACAGCTAAACACCGAAAAACCAAAATCCCACAACCAAAATACTGACATCCAAAATCCCTACAAGCAGAATAGGTATTTAAAAGGAAATGGCATTGCTACTAGCTTCACGAATGCACCTGTCGAGACGGTCGCTGGGCTATAGATTTTCGAAAATGACCATGGAAACCGTCAAAGGCGATATTATTTGGCAAAAAGATGCACGTCATCTGGAAATTTCAGTACGAGGCATCTAATCTGCAAATTTAGTAGGTCAACGAATACCCTGGGGTACAATGGTGACCGCTGTGGATCTCTTCTGTTGATCCCTTTCCCCGTCCCGACTCGCCCCCATCTGGACCACCTCTCCACCTGAAATACACCCCCCCCCTCATCTACATCGCTTCTGGTCCTTTGGCTACATCAATTGTTGGTAAATGTTCTTATTTGCCAACCTCGATACGTACACTATTGTGTACAACGAGATTAACATATTTTTGGAAATGGTCTGGTTAGCAGAAGCTTGTTTTCGCCAAACAGCGTCTCCTCCCGGCATTGCACATACCAAGTCGGGGAACGGCGCACACCCCACGTGGGGTGAGCAACCCTTTCAAAAATACCATTAATAAATAATTTATTAGCCTAAACACAATCTGCATGCACGAAAATAGTGTGGAACCGTAGAAACCTGACCTTATGTCATGGCTGTGGAAATGTAATATTACACGTAAAGGTGCTGGAATAAACCCGGTTCTTTCGACTACGTCAAGCGGTAATAGACCTCAAATCGATCGTTTTGATAAGCCGAGGAACACTTACGATAGCGTGCTTTCCGAGAAGCTCCAAATTGACGAAATCAAAACCCATATGTGTTCTGTTGTAAATACTCTCCGATAAACGGTGAATGCCCAGAAAGTCGAAATCGGGGAAGAAACTGATTGGATCATCGGGTAGCGGCTGGAGATGGTTCTGGAATTACCTCGCGTAATCGACATCCTTTATTTTTGCAGAATGACTGAAAATCAATAAATCTCTGGAAGAGCGTGCTAGAGTGAATGAGAGAGAGAGAGAGAGCGAGAGTGAGAGAGAGCGAGAGAGAGAGTAAGAGGGAGAGAGAAAAAGAGAGAGCGGGAGAGAAACAAACCTGGAGCATCGGCAAATCCTCAGATCGCCCCAAATGCACGTCCCTTTCGCCATTTCCGCGTTTTACAATCGCCCTTCCAGATGGTATAGCTAAATCAAAGCGGTCAGTAAAAACGCTGTATTTGATTACTACAGCTCTTAGGCATATTTGTAGATAGTATACTAGATTTTTCCATCGTTATCTTCTGGCCTACCGCGTAAAGTAGCTGAAGCCCGGCTTTCCCCCACATCGATGGTGCAAACCGCCCGGCATCAGCAGCGTCTCGGAAAGGGCCAGTGTGGCGATGAATTGCTCGTCGACACCGTAACCCTAAAAATCTGGTAGTGCTGAAAATTGGCCAGAAACTACGGTCTTATTGTGGGTGAGGTGATCGATGAGTGTAGTGAGATTGACGTCCTGGGTCATCCACTTCACTGCTTTTCGGCCTAGGGTAGCCTAGAAAAAAGCGGACAAATTTATTTGTTTGGTCTCTCTCACCCGCTCTCTCGCCTCTCTCTCTCTCTCTTTCTCTCCCCGCTCTCTCTCTCTGACTCCCCTAAAGTCTTAGCTACTTGAACATATCCATAGCCGAATCTGATCGTCGCTGCCTTCTTTGCTCGGCCGTATAGGGACTGCCTGAAAATGTGTAAAACGGTATTTAAAAAGCTATATTTTTACACAGTTCCTTTTTATTTATTTTCGAAGCTTTAAAACTCGTAAAACGCCTTAAAAGCGTACTTTTCGTAAAAAGATTCAGCCCGGCCGCTGTCCAATTCAGGTTCCGATCGATCCGCTTTGCCAGCATTTGTTCCGGCTGGAAGGCAAAATGTCGTTGTAGCCATTCAGCTTCTAAAAAATAAAGCTGTTTTAACGTTTTTCAATTCATGTCTCCTTGGAAAAACTTATATAGTACACGTTGATACCTTTAACATCACTGGTAAGCTCCTCGTCCGAATGGAAGGAAATCGTAGGTCTAAAAGCTTATTGTATTTTTGTTACCGGGAACGACTACGGACGATTACTAGACGGACAAAGTATAAACGCGCTTGTGTAACAACATATTCCCATCCGGGCTGCTCGATTAACACCTCGAGACAGTCCAAATGGGCTCGATTCACATAGGCACCCGCTGATGTCATGCTCCTTTTCACTACAAAAAGGACGATGTTTTGTAAGCCTATGCCAAGCCGAAGGCAAGTCAAGTCCAAACCTAAACCAAGCCTCGGCAAAGCCTAAGCCAGGCCTACGCCAAGTAAGCCAAGGCTAAGCCAAGCCTAAGCCAAGCCTGAGCCAGCCTAAGCCCAGCCTAGGCCAAGCCTTAGCAAGGCTTAATCTCAAGACTAACCTGGCGTCAAATACACATTCGGCAGGCAGCTGGCCAGCATCCGGAAACGATGTTGAAATTCGGGGGTCGACTTTGAATCAACGGCAAAACAGTAGTGATTCTCGGGGCTGTAAGTCGTGGCGAGACCCATCTCCAGAAACTCGTAGTCCTGAAGGTGGTGAAAATCATAAAGCATGCTTCAGAATTACCGTATGCACTCCTTTAGCGAAAGCGATCGAGAAGTTGAGTCGGGGATGGGGTATCGGGCCGATTACGCGACTTCGGATAGCTTCACATGACATTGAGAGGTTGGTGGAAGGCTGAAAGGCTTGATTTTAAGGATGACGATTGATACATGAAAAATATGGTTTCCGACGTCGTCGAGGAGGTTAGTCTAGGGCTGTGGCGGCTCTGGAGACTCCGGCTGTGGGCTGTGGCGTGCTTAGGCTGCATGAGGGAATAAAGTGGTTCCGACGCCTTTTAAGCAGTTAAGCGGAGCGGGTTATGTGTCGTTCCTGCCTAAGGTAACAAAACGGCTCCCGACGTCTTGGAAGAAGTCGAACTAGGCCCGCGCTGCGTGTCGCTACTCCCTGAGGGAACAAATGGCATCCGACGTCTTCGAGATAGTCAAGCTGCGCGCGCGTTGTATTTCGCATCCGCGCGAAAAAACCCAGCTGGATTCTCTAGCGAACGAATCCATATCCATCCCATAAATATCCGTTTAACGAATCATACCTTTAATTTGATCCGTTTCCGCCCAAGAAACTGCTGTGTATACATCTTATCACCGGCAAAAATACGAGCGCAATCGACGTGGGCTACCTAAAAATATTTGTATCAAACATCAAAAAATAATTACTTCAGGACGGCTCCGAAAACGTGGCAAGACAACGGCATCGGGTGAAGGCAAGATTGTGAATTGCGCGGAAATGCCTAGAACCTTAAGTTTTAAAACGTTTAAGCGGATACCTTCCATCTGGACACTGCGTTCCCTCTGAAGTAACAGGAGGAAGCTGGCCGCGATTGCAACTAGGCAAATGCCCTCAAGCCATCGCCCCATATGGGGGGGCGTCTGAAAATGAATTTTTGGCGATTTTTGAAGGCTTAAAACCGAATAATCCTCAATGCTGGTCAGATTGAAGCAGCAAAGTAGAGATAGCGAGAGAGAGAGAGAGAGAGAGAGAGAGAGAGAGCGAGAGAGAGTGAGCGAGCGAGCGGGAGAGAGAGCGAACGGGAGAGAGAGAGAGGCAGAGAGAAATTTTTTGAAGGGAACGCCCGTGAAATTCACCCTAACCCAGGCATCCCCCGCTGAACATCCAAAATTGCGCATTCAACGCAGCCCCGCTTTATTAAAAGCGCCACTCCCCCTTTTGAACTCGGCAAAAAGGGCAGAAAAAAAATTCAAATTGACCATCGAGTTTGATGCGGTGTCTACCTACGCATGGATCAAAACTCATTGAACAAGGGATGTTCTGGTGTGTTATCGGTGGGGGGGGGGCGAAATTTTTCAGATAAGTCCAGAAATCGTTAGTATAATAGCGAATAAATAAGTTTTAACCGGATTTCTAGCCAAAAAGCATATACAGAATTTTAAAATATGGCTGAAAAAGTTTCAAAATTTTAAAATTATGCTTTTTCTTGACCCATTACGCTATGGAATGATGGCAAGTGGTAAACAGGACCGAAATTTGCATAACGATTTTAAATTGTTATAAACTTGATTGGATTAGCATAAATTATTCCGCACCGGAAGTGACCCGTCCTGCGGTATCGGTCGAAAAACAGTTTCATTTCCTACTTTCTGCTCCGTGCCTTCCCACCGTGGTGAACATCGTCTACGAAATGCTATTCCAATTCTTCACCTTCCTCATCCTCATCCTCGTCGTCATCGGTTGCGGTGGTGGTGGTGGCGGCCCTCGCAGTAGGTTTTTTGGGATTTATTTTGGCTTAGGTGCAGTTCCCCCCCAGCCGACCCCCACCTACCGTATCTCGGCTCTCTGTTCATCTACAGGTGTGTGTAGTATACGAAAATACTCGCCAGAGCAAGCCAAACATTTTGGTATACTTTACACAACGGTAGATAAACATGGAGCCGAGATACGGTAGGTGGGGTCGGCCGGGGGGGGTGTTTCTGCCGGTTACCGACTTTACCCCCCTTCCGCTTTTCTCTTCAATCGACTCGACCATCGGTTTTCAGAAAGCAAAAAAAAGAAAGAGAAAGCCCAAGAGCCGGTGACGCCGGAATCGGTTGAAGAGCCGGAAGCGCCGTCGAAGGAAGCGAAGACAAAGAAGGCTTCTGCACCCAGCCGGGAAGCCAAGTCCGCACAGGTCCGTAGGGTTGGCTTGTTCTTCTAAGATATATTTTTTGAATATGGATAACTGATCGATCGAAATTGTTTTTTATTATTCCTGAAGGTAAAAACGGTAAGAGTCTAGAAACCCCCGGCCGGCACCAACTTTTGTATCTCGGCCCCCTTTTGTGCTAGCAAGCTCTAAAGTTTACCAAAATGTTCGCCGTAGGCTAATTAGTAAGACTACATTGCAGTTCAATCGAAAAAAGTAGCGAAAAATAAAAATAAGAAAGGTAGAAAAGTTGAAAAGTCGGCTGGGGCGGGTTTCCTAGACTTGAGCCGTAAAAACTTTAAAAATTGCTTGAAAAACAAAAAAGTTTAGAGTGCGGTTTACCCCCACCCCCGAGCCGGCACCCAGCTTTTTTATCTCGGCTCCCTGTTGATCTACAGCTGTGTAGAGTCTACCAAAATACTCGCTAGAGCAAGACCAACATTTCGGTATACTTTACACACCTGTAGATGACCAGGGAGCCGAGATACGGTAGGTGGGGGTCGGCTGGGGGGGGATTTCTAAAATTGTACAAACAAATTTGGGTTTCTCGTTTTCCTTTTTATTGATTTTTTCAGGACGGAGCTTACGAAGACTACGACCTATCGCCCGCCAAATAATCTCGAACTCGCGACGAGCACCCCACCACAATCACCCCCAACAACAACAACACACGAACAATCAATCCTCCCGTCGAGATGAGCCACGCGAAATCAAGGAAGAATCGCTCTGCGTTGTGTTATGATTCGCTTTTTGTTAATTACTGATAAATAAATGGCTGCCCTGGTGCGATGGACAATTCTCTCTCTCTCTCTCTCTCTCTCTCTCTCTCTCTCTCTCTCTCTCTCTCTCTCTCTCTCTCTCTCTCGCTCTCTCTCTCTACGGGTCTTTCCGTTTTACTCCGCAGGTGCGATATATTCCTTTATTAACACCCGTTTTCTGAAATGTAACGTACCCCAAAATACCTAATAAACGGCAAAAATTGATGCTAAAGGTTCTCAACATCTCGTTTGGAAATTTCATTCCTTTCGCTCATTTCGGAAACGTCACATTGCAGTCAAACGTTTCCGCGTCGAATCCTGGCTGCTGTTTTAGCACCTCGTTGTAGTATTTCTGAAATATCGTATGTTTTAATTACAAAAAATTCCCTTACAATTCCATGTTTTCCCAGCTTCTCCTCATCAATCGGATCCGCACCATAATGGGTTCGATTCCAGATACTTTCCGCCATACACGAAATGCCGGCAAAATCGAAATCGGGCAAGAACTTGTTGACCATGACGAAACGGCGGGAGATGTTCCTGGAATTATTGCTGTTTTAAAGGCGTGGTGACAGCTAGACTCGAATGGAAAGCTCAAGGAACTCTGCTAGTTGACGTATACGCGCCGTGGGCTAGCAGGGGTGACGGCCGGTTCGCCTAAAACCCGTCTCGCCTAAAACCCGTTTTGCCTAAAACCCATTTCGCCTAAATCCCGTTTCGCCTAATACCCATTTCGCCTAAATTTTGTGTCATTTCATTGCTGTATTTTTGACCGATTTTCGATCTTTTTTCGTCGAAAATTCAACTATGAAAATGGCCAAAACTTTAGGCGAAACGGGTTTTAGGCGAAATGGGTTTTAGGCGATATGGGCTTTAGGCGAAATGGGATTTAGACGAAACGGGTTTTAGGCGAAATGGGTTTTAGGCGAAACGGGTTTTAGGCGATATGGGTTTTAGGCGATACGGGTTTAGGCGAAACGGGATTTAGGCGAAACGGGTTCTAGGCGAAATGGGTTTTAGGCGAAACGGGTTTCAGGCGATATGGGTTTTAGGCGATATGGGTTTAGGCGATACGGGTTTAGGCGAAACGGATTTAGGCGAAGTGACCGGAATTCCCCAAACCGAAGCTAGGGAGCTCGACCTGGCAAAGATCCCTACCGGCCGGAAATCGCACAACAAAATTGGCCGGCAGATGGTCTCTGCTAGCCTGTTGCGCAACCCACCTGAGCGCCACCAAATCCTCGACGCCCCAGACGCACTGATTGGCGCGCATCCGATTTGTCCCGCAGGGTTTGCTCCATTTTGTGTATCTAAAGTGGCACGGTAGATTTTTAGGTTTTAGTGCCTTAGCGGGGACAGTAAGCTGGAGAAATCAAATTTTCCCTATAACCCAAGATAGATTGGGAGGAAAAATTATTGATCTCCGCTAACGCCTCCCCCCGCTAATAGTCCAATCCCGCTTTTTGACGCAAGTTTTTCTGCTAGACCGCGAGCTGACCTCGTCATAAACGTCAGAATCCCCTTCTTAATACATCTGTGATGAAACCCGCCCGGCATCCCCAACGTATCCGAGTTGATCAGCGTCGCGATGAACTGCTCGTCGACGCCGTAGCCCTGCCGAATTTCGGAGATTTTTATAAATCCTTTAGGGCCTTAAACCTTGTGATTCAAAAAGTTGAGCTGCTCGACGAATTTCGTCAAGTTCACCTCGCGCGTCATCCAATGGACTGCTGCCCGGGAGAGGGAGGCCTGATTTGGAGATCTGATTAGAAATCTACGACCTACCTGGACATAGCCCTTGGCGAAGTCGATACGGCTTTTTTGTTTAGGCGCTGGGCCGAAGGAGAAATCTGGAATTGGATTCATCTCTCGATATGCCTCTCTTTCTCTCTCTTTCTCTCTCTCACTTTCTCGCTCTCTTTTCGCACCGTGTCACGTACTTTTCGGGAAGAAATTCAACTCCTCCACCGTCCAGTTCAACGAGTATTCTATTCGATTCCCTGGCACCAAATTTGTCGTCGCATCATTCGAGCCGTTCAGTATCGAAAACGGAAACTTTGACACAATAGTAGAACAGAGCGATCTTCCCAATTCTTTTGAAAGCCGAAGATCCCCCCGATATCTACCACCCCCACCTTGAACATGTTCATCAGCTCCTCGTTCGAGTGGGCCACGAGATCGTAGGTCTAAAGCCAGGTTGGAGGGTAATTTTGAAGAGCAATAAAACCACTTACTTGTTGCAAAACGGCGTATTCCCAATTCGGCTGCTCGATGAGAATCTCGAGACAGTCGAGGTGGGCCCGATTCACGAAACCACCCGCCGAGTTCATGTTGTGGCGCTCTCAAACAGGTTCCGCGTGGCAAACAAATACTTAAGGACTGCTAAGCGCGAGAATCGACCTTTTGGATGTACTGGGTGTCGACAATACGTCGTACCTCAAAATCCTTACTTTCCAGTATACTTCTCCGCCCACCCGGGTGGGGCCCCCTAGGGGGGACAGAGGGGGGACTGAAAGGGGGGATGGTGGGGGGGCCCCCCAGGGGGACCCCCCGGGGGGGATTCTTCCCCCCTCCCCCCCCCACCCCCCCCACCCCCACCCACAGGGCGCCCTGCCAAACCCGGCGATTCATCCTTTAAGAAAAACGCGCATGAGAGGGGAAGACCGGGCTAGCCTACGGCACGCTCCAATCGACGCGCAATTGGTTCTTAAAGCAAAGGGGGTCCGTCTTCTGCGCTTTCAAGCCTCTGTAACTTTTTTATACGGCAGTTTCATAATCTGGGTGGCCGCTCAAAAAATAGAAGAGACTTTGCTCTACCTTTTAATAGTGGTTTTGTCAAAATCGAGCGTTGGAATCGAGACTTCTGATGGTTTGAAGTTTGAAAAATGAGGTGCATGTTATCGTCTGAGCTCAAATCCAGCTAAATCCTGGCCCAACCGCCTCAACTACATTTTCTGGAAGAGTATCTTTCATGAACTACCCAATATTGAGAAAAATTGGGCTTTTAAAAATTTACGCGACGATTCCAATTCAATGTTTTCTGAAGTTTTCAATTAGCTATAACTTTTGTTTATGACGGTTTTCGAATCTACTAGCAGACTAGGAACTAAGAGCAGACCTTCCTCTATCTTTTGCACCTAGTTTTAGAATAGCCCAGCGCAGAAATTTAGCGAATGGGTCCTGTAAGAGGGTGCGATAAGCTTACGATCTTTACTGGCCTATTCCGCATGGAGAGAATGTTCCGCTTGTATTCTTAATTTCTTTATTCCTAGCGAGTCTATTGGCTGCATGCCTCAGGGGGTAGGGGGCACGGTCATTTGGGGTGGTCCCGGGGGTCCCCTGGGGCCCCCACCATCCCCCTTTTCAGTCCCCCCTCTGTCCCCCCTAGGGGGGGCCCACCCGGGGTGGGCGGAGAAGTATACTTTCCAGTAAGTGCGACAAAAACTGCTTAAAGACTACCAGAACGATGGAACGCGCACTGTCACCCCGAGGGTGCTGCCCCCAAGAACGCGCGGAGAGAGGCGTCATTAGTGGTGCCCCGTATTGGGCAAAGGCCCTCTGGGGTTTGGGGCACCTCTGACTCCCTTCCCCACTTGGCCCTGTGGTATAGTGGCTAGCGCGTCGGACTGTGGAGCGAACCATCGCGGGTTCGACCTCCGCCCGGTGCGCAACTTTCTTGCTCTCCACGGAATTTCATCGTTCTGGCGATCTTTAACCATAGCCCGTGTTAGGATGGCGACCAACCTGGTGCTAAATACACATTCGGTAGGCAGGTGGCCAGCATCCGGAAGTGCTGAATGAATTCCCGATCCGCCTTCGAGTCGATCGAGAAGCAGTAGTGATTCTCGGGACTGTAGGTGGCGGCCAGGCCGAGCTCCAGGAATTCGTAAGCCTAGAAGCTTTTGAATTAGGCTTAAACGAAAGGGAAAGAGAGAGAGAGAGAGAGAGAGGAGAGAGAAGAGAGAGAAGAGAGAGAAAGAGATAAAATTCCGACAAACCTTGTGCACATCCTTTGCAAAAGCTATCGAATAATTCAGAACTGGATGCGGAATCGAGCCGACCACCCGCTTCCGTACAGCTTCACAAGACATTTCGAGATCAGGGTTTGGCTGAAGAATAATAGGTCTGCCGGTTTAACGGTTTTAAGGAACTAGGAAGATCGACAATCGACCCCTGGCCCGGACTAGATCTCGACAATCTATCTGCTATTTCCAGCTAAGAGTGGCACTGAAAATAGTCGGAATTTTTTGCTTGTTGCGGGTTTTGGCTGTCGGGATTTTGGTCGCCGGAATTGCATATGCACCAACTGCAATATTCTACTAAGGTGATTTGGAATGTCGCGTAGTGTCGAGACATAGACAACCAAAGAGGTCGATCATAGCGCTTCCCAGGCCCGAACTGTAACTTACGACCATAGCTATGCGTCGATCTGCCGCAAATAAGTTCATATATCCCATATCTCCGGCAAATATCCTCGCGCAATCAATATGTGATACCTTAAATACATACATTTTTTTCAGTGCAAAAACATTGGGCTATCCCAACCTCGGGTCTCCTTTGAAAACCAAATGCCCGTCCATTCGAATAGTCAAAAATATTTATTCGAAAAACGGCTTGAGGATCTGCAAAATGGAATTTTGCGCGAACGAAAAAAATTTAGAACTTTATTAGTTAGATTTTTTAAACAATTATTTAAAAACTAAATTTCTCTTTAATAACGACACCCACCTGCCACGTTTAAATTAGATATTCTAGTGAATTTATAAAATACGCAACAGCCAATTAGCAGAATAAAATATTTATTCGTAACGATCCGGCGGTTCAGCTCTAACAGATAGTGGATCATCTAAAAGCCTTATAAAAAAGAAAACGAAAAAATCGAAATTCAACGTTTCCTATCAGCATCAAAAACTAATCTTTCACCCAAAACCAGGGTTTTAACTTTTAAGCTTAGAACAAGTAAATTATGAGTTTTTGCCATAAAATTTACGCTGCATTGGCTAGTATAATAATTGACACCTCTTCCAGGCTGTCCAGGAATTCCGGATCCCCACACCAGCTGTATCCACATTAGGGCATGAGGCCCAAAGAGGTCCCGTAGCGATCCATCCGCGCGCTGTGGTTTGGCTAGAAATAAAGCAAGATAGATATTGAGAAATAGTATATCACAAAAAATGATCAAATGCTTAAATATAATCATAATTGTCTATAAATATGTAGCTCTCTCTCTCTCTCGCTATCTCTCTCGCTCTGGACATCTCTCTTTCGCTCGTTTTCTCGCTCTCTCGCACCCGCTCTCTCGCTGTGTTGCTGTATCTCTTTGTCTCTCTGTGTCTGTCTCTCTCTCTCTCTCCCTCTCTCTCACTCTGCCGCTCTCTCTAACTCACACAATCTCTCGCTCTCCCGCTCTCTCCCGCTCCTTCTCTCGCGCACTCCCTCTGACTCCCCGTTCATGCTCACTCTTTCCTTCATGTTTTCTGGATCTTTCTCACGCTCTCTCTCTCCCTCTCTCTCTCTCTCTCTCTCGTGCCAGGCACCCCAATTTCTGCAAATAATTTATTAACTCCAAGTTCGTCTCCACATATACACACACAAAATGACGGCGGCCAGGGGGAAATTGGGGGGATGTGAAGGACATTAGCACACAACACGGCACAAAAATTCACGCGAAAAATTTAGTGGAGCCATTTAAGGTGTTGAAGCTCATCGTCATCAAGTCTTTAGGAACGTATCGGAAATTGGAGGATGGTGGGATGAGATCACAGATTTGATTCGGGGGGTGATGTCGATGTGTATTTATGCGGAATTTTGGGGGAGGTTTCTCGAGAGTTGGGGATGATTACGGTACCTGTCGGGGGATACGGTAGGTGGGTGTGGGGAATATTTGAACTATTTGCCTAAAAAGCGAGCAGGAGGAACGGAGGGTTACGGTAGGACTTGTAGTTTGTCGTCATCATTTAGCCTTAAAAATCCAAAAAATACTACTAACTTTTCAAAGGTCGAAATTGATACATTAAATTGTTTTAACATGAATTTTGTATAACTATCTTATTAAGCCAAATCAAAATTTTCAAAAAAATTGAAAGTTAAATTTTAAGTTTCAAGGTTGAAATTTAAAAAATTAAAAAGTGAAAATTCGAGAACTAAATTTTCCGGCTGAACTTGGCATAATTAGCATAACACGCGTTGTCACACCATTCCCTAGCCTCCAAACGACAAACTACAACCCCTAAAACCCTCCTGTTGTGAATTTAGCAATGGTTAGCCGCGACACTTTAATACTGATGATGCCGCAGGTCCTTCATGTAGCCGAGGAAATGCTCGTTCTTGTTGCAGTTGTCGTAGTTGCAGATGCACCGGAATTGGTACTCCGTCATTGGCGATTTTGCCGTCGCCGGGTAGCGCTGCAAAGAAAATATTTGTAAAAATTTGGTTTCCTCGAGTATTAAAGGGACTAGCCAGTCTTTATCACTCTCTCGCACTCTCTCTCTCTCTCGCTCTCCCTCGCTTTGCCTTTCACTGTCGCCCTCTCCGACTCTCTCTATCTCCCAATCTCCCAGTCTCTCTCCCCTCCTTACGTCTCAACCTGCGCACTCTCGCGCACGCTGATTCACTCTCTCGGGCTCATTCTCCTGTACACACATTCGCTCTCGCTCTCTCTCTCTCTCATTCTCTCTCACGCTCTCCCTCTCGCTCTCTCCTTTTCAAAGAAATAAAACTTTACAAACCTCATAGAGACAAACAGAGAGGATGCCATATCGACGATCATTCTGCCCGAAGAGCTCCTTGTACGGTTGCACGTACTCGATCTGATCATCTTCAGGGATGCCGAATGCTGCCGCGCTGGAAATGGAAATTTAAGCTAATTTTGGTTGATTAGAAACCTTCGAGAATCTATCCCTTACTTTAGCTAAGTCAAGACAAGTAGCACCAGACTTTTGGGCTGGCTTACTTCCCGTATCCAAACATCAGCGTTCCATCCCATTTTTCAGCGAAAAAAAATTTACGCGGGCAGGTGCATGCCGTAATTTTTGAGCTGAGCAAAAGCATTTTTTTTTGGGTCTCAGGTGTTTCGGAAGTGCGTCATCGTTGTTATCTGCCGACCAGACCTTGGCCACCTGCCCGCAAAATTGCAATTCTGACGTTAATTTTCATCAATTACGGGCCCGATAAACATCCCGAAACGACCCGAAAACAGCCGGAAATCCTACTATATATAAAAAAGTCGTGTCTGTGTGTGTGTGTGTGTGTGTGCCACTTTGCATGCAACTTCCGTCAGGTTGTTCCAGGCGTATCTCAAGAAGGAGAGAAGTTAGGGGAATGTTTGATACGGGATTAGGAGCGTAATGGTCTGGCGATGACTGCACGCATATCAGATCTATCAAATTCTCTTATTTTCGACATTAAATTTAAGCTTTTGTTCAAAAATCCGAGACTCTCTTTGTTAGAAATCAATTAGCATACACCGGAAGTGGGTGTAGCCTATATAAAGGAGCGGAGAGAGCATTTTTCACTTTTTTTCAGCGTGAGTCGGGCCGAATTATGCAAAGTGCAAAACTTTCATTGGGGTGGACGGGGCCAGGGTTGAAAAGTCGCGAAGCGGCTTTTCAACCCTGGTTCTATCCTAATTGAGCTGTTTGGATGGGTCTTTGAACTTTTTAAAGGGCTTACAATTATTTCAAGTTGTTAGCTTAGGACTTAGACGTATGTTGCCGTTCAAGTTTAGGACCTGGCTTCGGTTTACGTCGAAAGGTTTGGCTTAGGTTTTGGCTTAAACTTTGCTTAAGCTTGGCTTAGGCTTGGCTTCGGCTTGGCTTTGGCTTAGCTCAGGCTTGGCTTAGGCTTAACTTAGGCTTGGTTTAGGCTTGGCTTAGGCTTGGCTGAGGCTTAGCTTAAGCTTGGTTTAGGATTTGGCTTAGGCTTAGGCTTCGGCTATTGCTTTGGCTTTGACTAAGTCTTCGCTTAGGCTTAAGCTTGGTTTTGGCTTCGATTTGCCCTGAGTGCATTTTCCGGTCCAAAAAATCTTACGCAACCTCGTAGCTAAGCGCTTTGTTTTGGCGCGAAGCCCCGAAGCCGCTATTTTTCATTTTCAAGTCCAAAAATGCTACGAATTCCGCGCCATTTTCCGTGCACATCGGCCGCGCGAAAATAGAAAGTTCAGCCAGGCGGTTGAAAATATGCTCTTCTGGCGGTGACAAAATATATTCTTTGCTCTGTTCGGGGGCCAAAAAACCCCGGGGCTGGGGTACGGTAGCCGCTTTCAAAAAGTCCAATTTTCAGTCGGCCAAAACACAATAATAATTTCGCAAAGAAACTCACGGATTCCCCTTGGAGGCCGGGATGAGGGCACAGAATTTCCACGTCGGGTCGGTGACCGCCTCGAAGTTGCCCTGAAATTCGGATGTTATTAGGAGATACGGTCCACTCGGAATTTATTAAAGGGGTGGGCAAGTCCGAAAATCGACCCCTTCCATTGGCTAGGTCTCGACAGGTAGGCGGTCGGTCAAAACGTTATTTTCTGATTGATTTTTGGACCGCGTTTTTGCCCGTATCGCGAGCAATTCAGCCACTGATCACGCGTATACAGGCGTGTCGCGTAGCTGTCGAGACCTAGCCGACTAAGGGTCGATTTTCGCACACATACCAGTCCCTTTAAGAGGTCTGTCGCGGAATGTTCACATTTTAAGATTTTGATTTATTTTCGATTGAAAAGTAAGACGTATCCAGCGAGACAGAGGGAGAGAGAGAAAGAGATAGAGAGCGAGAGAGGGAGAGTGAGCGAGAGAGAGAGCGTGGGAGAGAGTTAGCTATACAGCACAAGAGATCACTAATTTTTAGGATTTGAGGCCATATTTTTTGGGCCAATTGGTTGTGAAACAACCCAGACCCCTACACGCCAATCCAAACGACACGTGTTGTTCTGGTCAGCCGGTTACGGTAGCACTAAAACACAGACACCCCGGATCTCATTAACGGGCCCGGGGGCACGCTATAAAAACGGGTGGTTTGGTGTCGACAGGGGATTATAACGCCTGTCCAGGCCCCTCATATATGCAAAGATATTCTCATATAGTGATCAGGGGCTTCACTG